TGCAGGCTGGGCTGAGGGACACCCCCCCCCCCACAAACACCCATGCATGAATTTCATGCACTGGGCCTCTAGTCAATGATAAGAGAAAAACCACTGATCTGCTGCCTCCTGCACACCTCCTACTGGGGATCAAGCCCAAAACCTAGGCATGTGCCCTTGACCAGAATGAAACCCGGGATCCTTCAGTCCACAGTCCAACACTCTATCTACTGAGCCTAACTTGCTAGGGCAGGACTATACTGCGTTTATTTTCTGTGCCCCTAGCACCTTCCATAGTGGCTGGTTCAGAGTAAGTGCTAATTATCTTGTTGAATGAATTCATGAAAACAGAAGTGATCTCATCCCTTTTGGAGCTCACAATCTAAAGATGGTGGAGTCCTACTTTCCTTGTTCGGCTTACTGTTCAGCACTAGGCCACTTTAGAGATGGGAGAGCCGAGGCCTGTAAAGGTGTGGTGACTTGAGCAAAGACCCATCAAGGGGGAAGAGATATCGCTCTTCCCCACTTCCCAGAGGGAAATACAATTTCCCTCATGTTGTCAGAAACACGAAGAAGCACCAAAAACACATGAAACCTGCTACACCCATTGTGAACACAAGGCACTGTACTGCCTTTTATTTTTGGAACAATAACCAGGGCAAAATTTCCATCACAAGAGAAGTTAAGCACAAAGAGAACCTGTGAGCTCTCCGGATGGAGCAGCAGTGCTGCAGGCTGAGATGGCACTGACGTGGCAGCTGTGTCTTCATGGGAAAGACATCTAGTCCCCAGTCCAGGTAATTGCCACAGCCCCAACGTTTTGTTCCTGCTACACTTGGGAATCCAGAGGCCTCGTTTTACAAATGTGGGAACAGAGGCTTAGAGAGAAGGGCCATACCTGCTCAGTGCACATCATGAATTAAATCTAAGCTTCCGACTTCTGGCACAAGATTCTTTTAAGCTCTAATTAAAATAAAAGCTCTGAATAGGAGAATTGAGAGAAAGGAGAGGCGAGGAGGAGGTTGGGGAAGGAGAAGGGCTCGGAGAAGGCAAAGGAGGAGGTGTCCCGTCAGGTGCCCCTTCGTGGGCAGGGGCACTGACAGGTATGGGGGCAACCAGAAACCTTGGGGGGAGGGCAGGAAGTCTGTGGGGGGGAAAGAGGAGATGGAGGCTGCACCTAGCTGGTTTATTTTCAGAGTTGCTATCTTTATCTGCATCTGCTAAATTATTAAACTGATATCACCTCCCGGAGGGTGCCAGCTCAGGTTGCAGGGCAGAGACTGAAAGGGAGAGGTTGGATCTCTTAGCAGATCTCTTAGTTGAATCTTCTAGGCTGGGATGAAAGGAGACTTCTTAGGCCTTGACCTCCTGCCCCACCCCACTCTCAGCTGATGGGGGCGGGACCCTGATTTGCCCACAGCCACACTCTCCCACCATAAGGCTCTGCCTCTCCTGGCTGCTGCCCCAGGAGAGGCGTGGATATAATGGACAGGTCTCTGGATTCAAGTCCTTCTCAGCTCCTCTCTCTCTCTCTCTCTCTCTCTCTCTCTCTCTCTCTCTCTCTCTCTCAAACACTTCATCACATTTATTTATTTATTTATTTATTTATTTATTTATTTATTTATTTATTTATTTATGTATTTATGTTAATCCTCACCAAGGATATTTTTCCATTGACTTTAAAAAATATATATTTTATTGATTTTTTTTTACAGAGAGGAAGGGAGAGGGAGAGTTAGAAACATTGATGAGAGAGAAATATCAATCAGCTACCTCCTGCACACCTGCTACTGGGGATGTGCCCACAACCAAAGTACATGCCCTTGACCAGAATCAAACCTGGGACCTTTGAGTCTGCAGGGCGATGCTCTATTCACTGAGACAAACTGGTCAGGGCTCTGTTGACTTTTAGAGAGAATGGAAGAGAGAGGGAGGGAGGGAGAGAACCATCAATGTGAGAAAAACACATTGATTGGTTGCCTCTTGCAGAAGCCCTGACCAGGATGTGGGCCAGGGAGGAGCCTGCAACCAAGGTACATGCCCTTGACTGGAATTGAACCTGGGACCCACTTTGGTCTGCAGGCTGATGCTTTATCTACTGAGCCAAACTGGCTAGTGCTGCCCCTTCTCTTTCATGGTCTCTTGCTCAAACCAAGGTCAGATATGTGTAGCTTCTGACATTTTGGACAAATTCTTGCATCTATCAATACTTTTGTCTAGGTGTCAGCAGTTCCATTCCTCAAGCCCTGAAGATTACAGAGAAAACATGCTTTACTCAGGATTGCACAGCTAGGACTGAACTTCAGTTCAAACTTAAGTATCTCTAATTCCAGATTCCTTTCTTCTCTTTTTAAAAATTTTAAATATTTTTCTATTTCCCATCTTTTCTACAAGAGGACTGTGTAGCCGAAACGAGTTTGGCTCAGTGGATAGAGCATCGGCCTGCGGACTGAAAGGTCCCAGGTTCGATTCCAGTCAAGGGTATGTACCTTGGTTTCAGGCAGCTGATCGATGTTTCTCTCTCACCGATGTTTCTAGCTCTCTATCCTTCTCTCTTCCTCTCTGTAAAAAATCAATAATATATATATATATGTTATATATATATTTATATATATTATATATATGCTGCAATAATATATATTGCACAGCTGTGCAATTATATATATATATATATATATATATATATATATATATATATATATTTTTTTTTTTTTTTTTTTAAGAGGACTGTGTAACTTATAAAACAAAATGAAAACAGCCCTGCCCAGTCTGGCTCAGTTTGTTGAGCATCATGCCATGCACCAAAGAGTCACTGGTTGATTCTCAGTCAGGGCACATGCCTAGATTTTGGGCTTGATTCTCAATGTGGGCGGGTGGGCAGGAGGAAGGGGATGGCGGGGGGAAGATACTGAAGGCAGCCAATCAATGTTACTCTCTCACATCGATGTTTTTCTCTCTCTCCATTTCCCTTTCCCTCTTAAAGCAATGAAAACATTTTAAAGGGATCAGAATAAAACAATAGATTAGTACAGTATAGAAATGTACTTCCTGCCCTAACCAGTTTGTCTCAGTGGATGGAGCATTGGCCTGCGGACTCAAGGGTCCCAGGTTTGATTCAGGTCAAGGGCATGTATCTTGGTTGTGGGCACATCCCCAGTAGGGAGTGTGCAGGAGGCAGCTGATTGATGTTTCTCTCACCGATGTTTCTTTCTATCCCTCTTCCTTCCTCTCTGTAAAAAATAAATTAAAATATATAAATGTACTTCCTAATTCCCAGAGCTGTGTTTGCCAGGCTGGCTGTGCACTAAGAGGTGGTTGGCTGTGGCCCCTGTCCACTTCGGAGAGTGCAGAGCCCAGGGCAATTAAGGAAGCCAGGAACAAAGCGAACAAATGCCAAAGCTCTCATCTCTTGTGCTGTGTGAGCAGTATTCTCCTCGTGAATCCGTCTCCTTTCCACCCCCCCACCCCCAACTATCGTTGCATCAATGGCTGTGATTCATCCTTCAGGTCTCAGTTTAAATGTCACCTGCAGAGAACTCTCGCTGATTCCCTCCCCACCCAACTGGACCTAATGTCTCTGTGTTCCCAGGCCTCTGTGTTCTCCCATCACAGTAGCTACTCACTGAACTGCCATCATGTGTCTGTTGCTCCCTGAGGGCAGGGCCCCACCGGATCATTGCTGTGAACTCCAGCAGCCAGTCAAACAGAGAAGGTAATGATCACATTTGTTAAATGAATGAATAAATGAATGCATGACACAGGGGACTTTTCTTTTTTTAAAAAAATGTATTTTATTGATTTTTTACAGAGAGGAAGGGAGATGGATAGTCAGAAACATCGATGAGAGAGAAACATCACTGACTCCCTCTACTTGCCCTCCACTGAGTCTCCCTCACTGCTCCTAAGGCTTCCTTCCTTCACAGAGCCTGGTCCTCTCATGGAGCACTCTCTCCTCTCTGAGCTGCCTCTCAGGATCCCTGCTGTCTCGCTCACTTTCCTAATCACTCAATTTAAGGCGCCTGACAGCATGGAGAGGGCGGCTCCCTGTTCTCTTCTTCACATTAAGCCGGTGCACTCCCCCGTCTGCCTCCTCTTCAGCCTGGGCAGTAACCGCACTGGCCACACTTTGGGCGGGTCTCCCAAACCCTTCAGCCTCCGCCCCCCCATCACAGGGACGCTCCCATCCAAAGGTCCAGATCCAGGGACAGACCTGCTATGTGATCTTGGGGAAGGCACCACTGCACTTTCTGGGTCTGTTTCCCCTTTGGGTAAAGGCGTGAGGCATCCACTGGGAGGAGCAAACGGGAGCAGGGGCATGGGAAGAATTTTGCACATTGTGGCGTCCGGGGCTCCTCTAGGGGGTCCATCAAGGTTTACAAAGCCGAGGCGGACGCAGCGGCAGCGCTGTGGTTGGTTTTGCTGCCTGGTGGGGAACAAACCCCATCGGACCCCTAACAGACTCCAGCCCCCCCCCCCCCCCTGTGTAAACCTCTCCACTGCCCCAGGGAGACCGGAGAAAGGGGTCCTGGGGGGCCTTGTGGCGTAGAAGACCAGGCAGAACCGATTGGACCCCGGGGTGCGGTATGGGAAGGTGCACTGTGCAGAGTGAAGCCTCCTGAGTTCTCACTGTCACAGGCAAAACCCTCCCCAGGTGGAGCCTGGAGTCCTTGGTTCTTAAGCACCAGCTACCAGCGCATCTGCCTCGGAGCCAAAATAGAGAAGATGCGGGGATGGAGACCGGATGCCTTCGCAAAGCCGAGGGACCGAGGACCTAAAAGGAGTGGGCGCTGTCGCGATGGGCGGGGCGGAGACGGGTCAGAGCATGCCGGCCCCGGATTGGCTGCGCGGTCTGTCGCTCCGCCCCCAAACCTATAAGAGGCCCCGGTGGCCGGCGAGGCGCTGGCGCGGGGGCTGCGGCCACATCGCTTGCATCCTCGCCGTCCGTCCTCCGTCCCGCGGGGGCAGCCGGCCAAAGCCGCGGACCGACCGACCGACCGCTGCGGACCGCCGGGGGGCGGGGGATGCCGGGCTGCCGCATCAGCGCCTGCGGCCCGGGGGCCCGGGAAGGGGCAGCGGAACCGGGGTCGCCGCCGCCGCCGCCGCCCCGGGAGCCCCTGCCATCCCCTCAGCCCCCGCCCCCAACTCCGACCTTGACCTCAACCCCGACTCAGGCCTCGTCGCCGCCGCCGCCAGAGGCGACCCCGGCGTCGGCGGGCTCGGCCGAGGGGCAGGAGCTGCAGCGCCGGCGCCAGGGCGCTCCCGGGGCAGCGGGGGCCGCCGGGCCGGCAGGGGGCGCGGCGGGGCCCGGGGGGCGCGCCCTGGAGCTGGCCGAGGCGCGGCGGCGGCTGCTGGAGGTGGAGGGCCGCCGGCGCCTGGTGTCGGAGCTGGAGAGCCGCGTGCTGCAGCTGCACCGCGTCTTCCTGGCGGCCGAGCTGCGCCTGGCGCACCGGGCCGAGAGCCTGAGCCGCCTGGGCGGCGGCGTGGCGCAGTCGGAGCTCCACCTGGCGGCGCACGGCTCCCGCCTCAAGAAGGGCCCGCGCCGCGGCCGCCGGGGCCGCCCGCCCGCGCTGCTCGCCTCGGCGCTGGGCCTGGGCGGCTGCGTGCCCTGGGGCGCCGGGCGCCTGCGGCGAGGCCGCGGCCCGGAGCCCGACTCGCCCTTCCGCCGCAGCCCGCCCCGCGGGCCCGCCTCCCCGCAGCGCTGACCGCCCGGCCGGCCGCTGCCCCGGCGCCGAGGACGGACTGCGGGCGTGTCCCCGACGCGGATGGATGGACGGACCGGTCGGTCACAGGAGTGCGGCCGGGCGGCCGGGGGACCGGGCCGAGAGGCTGAGGTGCGGTCTTAGCGGCTGGTGCTTCCAGGGGGCGGGGGCGGGGGGTGCCGGGACCCGGATCTCCCTGCCTTGGGGCTCCTGGAGCCCGCGGGGTCCCCAATAAAGTGTCCGCTTTCGGCTGCGGCCTCTCCCAGACCTGGGGAGTGAGGCGGGAGCACCAGGCCCCCAGGATAGAGATGCACATACGGAGGGTGTGCCCGCAAACTTGTACCGCTCGGAGCCTGTGCACTGACGCAGCATCCTCCCCGCCCCTCCTCCCCCCGCACCTGCATTGACTTTCCGGCGCCCCTTGGGGCTGTAAGAAGAGTCCTGCCCTTGAGGCGGCTGTTTCCTGACACCTCCCAGCTCCCTACCTTTGGGCGGACAGAATAGTGAAGTCCCAAGATGGGCTGGGGCTGAGTTCTCTCCCAGGCCCCCGTTTTCCATTTGTGAGATGGAATCCCAGAGAGATCGAGGGGTTTTGTCCCATAAAGCTTCAGCCCTTCCCCTTCTAGGAGAGGTTTTTTTCTCACACCCTCATGCACCTTAGCTCAGAGTACAGCCCTAAGTAACCATGGAAACTGTCTAAAGCCTCACTTGTTCTCTGAGAGACTCTGCCCCCCAACCTGGTTCTAAAATGGCTCTGCCAGGGATGGAGTCAAGTAACATCTTTAAAATATATATATATATATATTTTATTGATTTTTTTTTAAACAGAGAGGAAGGGAGAAAGATAGAGAGCTAAAAAGATGAGAGAAACCTCGATCAGCTGCCTCCTGCACACCTCCAACTGGAGATGTGCCTGCAACCAAGGTACATGCCCTTCACGGGAATCAAACCTGGGACCCTTGAGTCCGCAGGCCAAAGCTCTATCCACTGAGCCAAACCCGTTAGGACTCGGGTAACATCTTTTAACAGGCCCACGGGGGCAGCTATGTCACTGACTTCTAGCAAGGGGGTCTTAAAGGGCCAGACCTAAAATGAGTTGTGCTTCTCTTCCTGTCCCCATCCCCTTCAGGCTTCTTCCCCAGCCCCCACTCTGCTGTGACTGGCCTCGCAGCCGCTCTGCTGCTCGCCAGCTGACTTGGCTGCAGCCCTCACCTCCAGGAAGTGCCGTAGAGAGGTTAACCCAGGGCAGAGGTCTGACTTCTCCCCCATCAGTCAGGGAAGAATGGTTTGGTCTCCGAAATCACACCTAGAAGCCGGCAGGGCTCTTGCTGGTGGAGTCAGGAGCTAATCTGACGTCCTCATTCTGCAGAGTGGCCAGGTCACATGCCCGCAGAGGGACAGAACTAGAGCCCAGGCTTTCTCTCAGTGTCTCTCCTGCCCAGGGGCAGGGGCCAGAGAGAACTGATGTCCAGCTTGTCTGCTGTGCGACTCCGGACAACTCTGCCCCCTCTTCGGGCCGGTTTCCTCAGTCTCTCTCTGCACACAGCTGTCCCTCCTCATGTCAGGACTTGGGAATGGGTGGATGGGGGTAGGATGAGAATGTCTGAGTCAAGGGAATCTAGGGTCCTGAGGGTCTGGTGTATTGCTCACCTGACCCCCCAACCCCATCAGCCTTTTCTTTCCCCAAAGCTTTGGGGTTTCTTAGCTCATAGCCAGGCCTTCCTGAACCCGTTTGTAGCTGGGGAAGGGAAGTCCAGGAGGAGGTCTCAGTGATGGAGGAGAGCCTGGGGACCAGGACAGTAGGTGGCCCTGACATCCTCTGGTCTCCACAGAGAGGAGAACCTTCTGCAGCTACTCTGGGGTTTGGGGTTTGGGGGTGAAGAAAGGACAAGGCGTGACCCAGGGAGGAGCTTTGGCCACAGCCCCGGGGGAGCAGCCAGAACTGTTTGTTTTCTGGGCTGCGCAGAAGAGCACTTGGTCCAGAGAAGCTTTTAGCTAATGGTGCAAAGTGCTCTGTGCCACCCCAATTCTGCCTTTCTCCGGGATTTATTAGTAATCAGCTTTGTCCTGATTTGGAGGTGGCGGTGGGGGAGGGAGTCAGAGACGGTCCTGGAGTCACAGGCAGATATGTCTCCTCCCTCCACTTCCAGATGTCCCACTGCTGACCACCAGGACCTCGGCTGTGCCACATGGTGCTCAGTGGCTTGGTTTAGTGCTCTGCCCACCACCCCTCAGCCCAGGGCCTCCTCTAGGAAGCTCCATTTTTTTTTTCAATCAACAAACATTGATTCAGTCCAGGGGCTCAAGAAGCAGCACTTAATCAGAGGGTCAAACTTTAAGATTCTGTGTCTCCTAGTCCTCCTTTAGGCAGCCTTCCCAGGGGACCCTCTGGGGCTGGGCAATTTGTGTTGTTTCGAGGGCTGTTTTCAGGCCTTCATAAATAACTAGCCCCTGACCCCCTTCCCTGCTCCCACCCCCATGACTTCCTGAACACTTTCTTGATGGCCCCCAGCCCTGGGGCCTGGACCTGTGCACGGAGGATATTGATGGCTACTAGTGAATCTGCGATCGCAACAACTTGAAATGAGGAACAGGAGCCTTCAGGTTCATTAATGCCTGGGGCTGGGGATCCAGTTCAGAGGTCTAGCCTGGGACCTGCCCCTCCCCTGGATAAGCCCCTTCCTCCCTGCTGGCCCTAGCCAAGTGAAGCTCTCTCTCGGGTCTCTGGGTGGCGCCACCAGAGGGCAGTATGGGGCTGCTTCCCTGAGCACGTGGGCGTAGCCTGGAGCAGCTAGACTCCCAGTGTCCCCGCCCCCAGTTGGCAGAAAAGAGGTTATGGGAGGTCACTTAGAGAAGAGGCTCAATGGACGCCTTCTGGTTGGGCCAGTCCCATCAGGAAAGACTTTCCTGGAAAGAGGCTGCCCCTGTGGATGATCACCTCCTGGTTTCACCATCACTTGGCTTCTCAGATTCCTTACACTGATAACACAACAAACATTGATGCACACCCTCTCCCACTGCCATCCGGGGACCAAGGTGGTTTTCTAAAGACGAGGCTAAAGCGACAGGTCTGGCTCAGGTGCTCCGAGCCGGCAAACGGCAGTCTCCAGGAGGCTCCTTTCCCTGCCAGCGGCTCTGGAGGGAACGGGGGCCCAGGCCTCTCAGGGCTGGAGAGGTCCAGAGCCAGCGCGGGAGGAGTTGTTTGGGAAAGCTGGGGGGTCCCTGGCACCTTGGCCAGGAGTCACGGGAGAAGGAATCCTTAGTTCTGGAATAATAAACTAACCGCCACTGGGTGGCGCTGTACTAAGCACTTTATATCCACCATTTCAGTCCTCCCAGCTATTCTGCAACGTAGGGGTTATTGCCATTTCCACAGGTGACTTGCACAAGGTCATAGAACTTGTATGTGGGAGATCCCTTAAACATTTATGTGACTTTTTGTTTATCAGATGAGTGTGGGAGGATTCTGGGCTCACCTTTCTGTCTGGGCCAGTGATCCCTGTTTCTGGGAGTGATGTGATAAGAGGGGCAGCCTAAGGTGCCCCTCCCAATGTCTGGGCACACCCCCAGAGGCTGGCTCCTCAGCCTGGTTGTCTGGGTTCGGGGAAGGGAGGAGGGGTGATTTAGGCTGAATCAGCACACCTGGCTTCAGGCAAAGGCAGCCCAACCGTGCTGAGGGCCTGTGCTTGCCGTGGACTTGCTTCCCTCCACCCTGGGCTGGGATGTTTGGTGCCCAGGAGAGCAAAGATCCTGGGATGGCAGAGGAGGAGGATGGCAGACTCCATAGTGGGGCAGAACGTACCCCAGGCTTGGGACAAGACAGACCTGGATTCTGTTCTGGATTCTCTGCTGGGGAGACCTTAGGCAAATAATTTATCTTCTCCCTGAGCCAGTTTCTCCCCACCCCCCTCTGTGTGTGTGTGTGTGTGTGTGTGTGTGTGTGTGTGTTGGGCAGCTAGGCAGGAGATAGCTTCTGTGTATGAAATGAGGAGCCCCCTAAGTGCCTGACACAGTGGAGACCTGTGCCAGTGTGATGGAGCAGGTCTGCCCGGCTTCGGAGAGGCTGCCAGAACATAGCCCCCAGTGGTGTGGGCCTGTGCTTCTCCAGAGCATCACCATATCAGGAATCCCTGGAAGCTCCCCGTCTCTCTCCCCCATGGGCCCCGGGAACTCCATAAGGGGAGAGATGGAGGAAGGGGCAGGCTTTCCATTCCAGGAACATTCCATTCCAGCTGCTCAGACCCGTGGGGATCCCAGCCAAGGACAAAAGCTCAAGGGAACCTCTGTTCACCCCAGGAGTCCCCACTCCTTCCAGGTCCATACTATTACCATACAGCCCCAGCTCCATACTATTACCAGCACCTTCTCTCCATAACGGCCCCTCTTCAGGAGGTGGATGTTGAAGGTTTGGGTGGGGCTGGGTGGCTGTGGGGAAGAGGTCATTGAAGATCTTGAAATTGTTCTCTCCAGCTTCCCCCAGCAACTCTCTGGATCTGAACTCCTGGATTCTATTCCTTCCCTGAGCACCTCCTCCAGGAAGATTTCTTCGCTGGACCCTCCACAAGGCGGAGCAGGATCCTGGGAAAGTTCCTGCACTATGAATTTCTTCGTGTACGCCACATTTGACTTTGGCTTATGTTGTACCATTGGAAGATGCTGAGATGCTATCAGATTATTGAAGAGAGCAGCAAACCCTTTCCAGTGTGAAAGTGGAAAGGATTTCTTTAAAAAGTAGAATCATCACTCTTTAACAAGTCACAACACGACTTGGCAGCTGCCCTTGCTTCTCAGTCTACCAGCTTGGAGACCTGTTGGAGGGGAACCAGTTTGAGAAAGCCCTGTCTTCCTCCTCCTCTGTTGGCGCCCCGTCCCCGTGGGAACATGCCTGTGGCCCCGCAGAAAGGTGGTCAGCTCTGACTCCGCGGGGAACACGCCTCTTTCTGAGAAAGAGACAGTGGCTACATAATCCTGAGCAAAGTTTTAAATGGGAAAAGGAACCACGCTTATTCATATGTCCTACCAGTAGAGGGAAGAGGGCCACATTTACTCACACGCAACCCAGAACTTGTAGAATTCTGCAAAATGAATGTACATTGAGTCAGTCCCGTGATTCATGCATTCAGGAAGAATAAATTTCAATGATGTGAGACAACTGCGCGTGGTTTTGAGTTTACTTTGCTAGTGCCCTTGCCTGTTTTCCTTTATGTGTCTGTCACCACTCTTTAGGTTGGCAATTCCTCGAGCAGTTTCTGTTTAGTTTCATTTGACGATCTTGGGACTGTGGACTGATTTGCAGACTGATGTCTCCCTTGACCTGGCTCAAAGCTGACCCTCTCCAGGAAGTCTTCCCTGATTAAGATGGTGGTGAGGAAGTTAGGGGTTGGGAATGCACAGGGGAGATGTGTGACGGGGAGGGAGGTTGTGCATGCTTGTGACAACCTGGCAGCCTATGACTGTGCTGGCAACGACGTGGACCTATTGGTCAGTCAGGGTCCCAGCAGGAGACAGGGCACACTCAAACTGGGCAGAGATGGTAAAGGGACTCTTTCCAAAGATGTGGGCTTAAGAAACCAACGTGGAATGGTGCTGCTCTCATGGCGATAGCAAAAGTTGGAAGCTTCTACAACTCCTGGACCTAAAATGGGGGAGGTAGAGGAGGGAGAAGGGAGGAGAGGACAGCTGTGTGGAGAGTCCCTGACAGGAGCAATGGCCTGTGACTGAGAGAGATGAATAAGACAATGGGGAGGGGACAGGGGAATAAACACCCCATTCTTCTCCAGTTTCCTGCTGGGGCCTCTCATTGGCCAAACCCAACAGGAAGGCCAGGAACAGGGAGTCATTGATGCACAGTTCCCAGAGGTCACCCTCCTCGGGGCACAGAGCAGGGAGAAGGGTGGAGAGTGGGCCTGGAGGAGCCAGCACACTTGTAGCCGCTTGGGGGCATGTCTGGGGTCCCCTGATGTCTACAGCAGGGCTTCTTTGCCCTCTAGTTTCCCCACCTGCTGTGGTCAGAAGGCTGGGGGGGGGTGGGGGCGGGGGGAGATTGTTACTTGGAGAGCGCTGTGGGGGATGGGGGCTTTCCTTCCTCGCCCTTCCCCTCTCTGGCTCTGGGATTCCCAGTTCTTGATAACAGCCTGCCCTAGCATCTTTCATGGCTGCAGGGATTGTCCACAAGAGAACAATGCCAGCCACTGAGTCAGTGATTTTCTCACACCCACTGTCCCACTCTGAAACCTACCCACAGGCATGCCTGTGATCACCACGGTCATGGCTGTTGTCACATGGACATCAAGAAAATGTCCGTCTTGTCACAGTGATAGACTCTGCCATAGGCATACATAAAATGGCAAACGTCACAGAAATATTAACTCTAGACACTTGCCAGCATGCCCTGTCACATATATGTATAGGAGACATACCGTCATGCTCATCCATGGGACATCGGAGTGTGGGGGCAGGATGGTGCAGGGGTTACAGCAAAGGCTTTAGAGTCAGACTAACTTCTCTGATCTTTTTGGCATTAATTTCCTGGTCGCTGACATGAGATAATCCTTGCTCTTGTGGAGTTGAGGAGACGAAATGAGGGGTACTGATCGGGGAGACCCAGCATCGTTTTGGCCTGCAGTAAAGCACTCCAGAAACAGTAGCTGTTACTGGGAATGCTTGTCTCTCCTGCCTCTCACCCCATGCAGGTCACATAGAGACACTCGTGAGCATGGGCACCTGCACAAGGCCAGTTAGAAACCCTTAGGCGCATGCACCCTCCCCAGACGTGGGTACATTATCAGACAAGCTCCCTCTGCCTGAACCCTCTCCCCGCAGATCTGCATGGCTTGCTTTCCACTACCTTTAATTCTGTGCAATCCAATGTCACACTTTCGCTGAGGCCCACCCTGACTTTTAAAATTCTCATACTCCAGCGATTCCAACCCCTTACCCGGCTGTGTATATTTTTGAGCATCACTGACCTTCTAAGGCGATATAATTTAGTTTATGATCTATAATCTTCAAGAGGGCAGCCATCTCAGTCTTGTGTTTGCTGACATATTCCCAGTCACTAGAACGGGTAGCTGGCTCACCATGGGCTGACTGCTGGTATATACATGTATGTACCATTGGTTCCTGGCTTCTCACCTTCTGAGACAAACATATCCTAACACACTAAACCTCTGTGCTTATACTGTGAGCATCCCCTCAGTGCCCAAATCAGGAGCTGGGACAAACTTTGTCCCTCTCAGGACCTTCATTAGGTGGGCACAGGCAGAGTGAAGATGGGAGCTGTTTTAATCATCCAGCAAAGAAAGCCTTTCCACTCACCCTTCTAGCCATTGTGAGCCCAGCAGGGACCCACTGAGCAGGTGAGGTGGCTGGACTTACACAGATGACCTAGGGTCCCCTCTGTGGCCTTGGGTGTTTTTTATTTTCCACCCCTGGCTGAAAACCACTTCAGAGGCCACTAATGAGGGTGAATGTGTTGAGGGCTTTGCAATTTGTGGATCAAAGGGGCTGGGTAAACAGTGGGGAGCGTCCAGGACCATGACTGGCTGATGCCCTGGGGAAAGAGCTCCCTGAGAGGGTGCTCCCAGACAGCCTGGCATGGCCTCTGGTGCTGGAGAGGAGACTGCAAACCTGCTTAGGACACGTTGGAAGGTGCCCATCCGCATTTGGGGGTGGCAGAACCAGAGGACGGAGGGAACCTCTCCCAGATGGGGTGGCCAAACCTGGGCTCAAGCTCTGGGGGCCCCTGGAAATCCCCCCCGTCTTAGCTGCCATTATCGGAGTCCTCTGCAGTCTGGATTCACCCAACTTGTTTTCCACTTGCTTCCTGGGAAGGGATGGGGCAGAGAGGCAGAAATGGGGTCAAGTAGCCCTGAGCACCACAGGGTGAGACCAGGTCCAGGATCATTCAGATTCTAGGTGGGAAATACTGAAATGATTACTCTCGAACAGGAGGCTTGCTGAGGCAGGGACAAGTCATATGTGTAGACATGAGCTCCTAGCACCGTTGTCAAGCTGGGGCTGGTGTTGCTAGAAGAAGGGGCATCCCCTCAGCCACAGCCCAGGACTCAACCCCCTCTCCCCCCAAATACCCTCCCCCAATATAAGCCAGACTCAGGCGGGGGAGGCAGATACAGCCCCACAGCCATGGAAGGCCCTTCTCCCAGGAGAAAGCATGGTACAGGGTGCTGGGCTCAGTGTAGACAATTTTTATTGGCAGGTGTTAAGAGTGCAGGGGCGGGACATGGTTCTCCTCCCCGAGCTGAGGGCCCTGTAACCAGGCCAGTGGGGTGGGAACATTTGACTGTGGCCAATTTGGGCTCCGTACCCTCCTAAGCTCCCAGCAGGAGGGCTCCTTGTGACGTGGGGGAAGGGAGCTGTGTCCTGGGAGGGTCTTGGGCTGTGTCCTACCCCAGGCCCCTTGGTCCCGTCCATATACCTTGACTGCTCAGGTTAGGAGTGTTTGGGGGCTGGGCCAAACATATCCCTCTCCAGGTACCTGTCTCATGCCTCCCTTTCCCTCCCCGGTGATTAGCCAGGTTGGACTACCAGGCCCTGAGAGTGGCCCAGCCTGACCCCGAAGTGACTAGTTCCCTTAATGCACCATAGTTTAGCCACTGAGTGGGCTGCAGACCCTCGGGGCTGCTGGGCTCCCTCTAGGCTGGCCCTAGCCAAACAGACCCTTCCTAGGCCACAGCAATGAACCCACGATGACAGACATTGAGACCAACACCCCAAACATGCTTTGTCTCCTGAAGGCAATGAACCCCCAAGACAAACAGCTCCTGCACCCCACAACCACGTTGGTCTAAAAGTGTGTGGCAATAAGCAAAGAACCCCAGCTTGGCCGTAAGCCCGAGGGGGCCTCCCTCAGGGAGTCTGTGGTCTGTTCAGTCCAAGGCCCAACCCTGCAGCAGCGCGGGGCCACCTGGCACAGGCTGCCTGTCCCCGGCCACGCCCTGCACACTCTCCTCAAGGCCCCACTCCATCTGGGGAGACCCGGTCTCTCCGGACCAGGGTCTGAGTCAGTTACAAGGCAGCCAGGTGGGATAGCAGGAGTGGGCCCAGGCCAGCAGGGGCTGCACAGGGGTCACGTAGTAATTGAAAGTGGCGGGCACAGGCCCATCAGGGCGTGGAGAGCACCAGGCCATGGCAGCGGCAGCAGCCGGGCCCTGCTCGGCCAGTGCCTGGAGGGCCATGGAGGCGATGAGGTCCAGCGTCTGGCGGCGCTCGTGGCTCATGAGGCACACGGTGCTCTCGTTGACCACCCGGTGCAGCGTGGCCAGGCAGTTGTAGCGGCCGGCAGAGTCGGCCCCGCTGAAGTGGGCCTCCAGGTAGCGCTCCAGCGTGCGCTGCTGCTCCAGCACGTCGGGGAAGTCGATGAAGAAGCGGGAGCACATGTAGCGCTGCAGGGCGCGCACGTCGGTGCTGGGCTGCGGCCGGAAGCCGCGCACCAGGAGGTGGCAGTACTTGAGGAGGCCGCCGCCACGGATCTCCTCGGGGTTGCGCGTGGCGATGACCCGGTGCCGCAGGTGCTCCAGGGCCTCGTGGAAGTCCCCGTACAGGCTCTCGCCCGTCACGGTGGGGTGGAAGGCCTCGGTCATGGGCGTGGACGAGCACTGGCTGAAGAGCAGCAGGGAGTCCAGCGTGATCTGGAAGGAGTCCACGCTGAACTCGAACTGGCGCCGGACCGAGTCCACGAACTTGAGCTCCACGTTCTTGCCGCTCTTGTTGGACAGCGAGATGAGGCTCCAGCGGTCCGTGTCCGTGCACACTTTCACCAGCTTCTGCACGTAGGCCTCCTTCAGGGTCAGGGGCGTGATCTTGGCCCGGCTCACGCCCGCCGGCAGGAAGTCCAGCAGGCAGGCCAGCACCACCTCCTTGGTCAGCTGGAAGGAGGCCTCGCTGCGCAGGTCCACGCGGAACACCAAGTCCAGGTCCTTGTAGCCCAGGCCGTTCTCGGGGTGCAGCACGTGGCTGGCAGCCGAGCCGTGCAGCCGCACGCCGTGCACGCGCAGCCCCTGCTCCTCTAGGCTGCTGCGGACCACCTGCGGGGGGTGGCGGGAAGGAGAGGTGTCAGGAGCTTGTCCCCCGGCCCCAGGTCTGCCATGGGCTTCCGTGTCATAGGGATAATAGCACCAACGTCTGCTGACCACTTATCAGCTGTCACGCCTTTGGAAAGACATTTAACTTCCTAAGCCAAAATTCCTGAGGCTAGAGAATGGCCCATTTGGAGGAAAGCCTCAGAAAGAACAGCAATAATGATAAATGCAAGCATAGAATTTACTAAAAGCTAGGTGCTAGCCGAACCCGGTTTGGCTCACTGGATAGAGCGTCAGTCTGCGGACTGAAAAATCTCAGGTTCGATTCCGGTCAAGGGCATGTATCTTGGTTGCGGGCACATCTCCAGTAAGGGGTGTGGCAAGAGGCAGCTGATCGATGATTCTCTCTCATCGATGTTTCTGGCTCTCTATCCCTCTCTTTTCCTCTCTCTAAAAAAATCAATAAAATATATTAAAAAAATAAAAAAATAGAAGCTAGGTGCTGATCCAAGCACTTTATATATTAAAATATAGATTCGTGTAATTCTCACAATTACTGGGTAAGGTAGGAACAATTATCCCCACGTTACCGATGGGGAAAGGGAAGCACAGAGGGGCCAAGTAACTAGCCCAAGGTCACCCAGCTGGTGAATGCAGAGCCGGGAATGAAACTCAGAGCCCATGTTGAACCACTATGCTCTTCTCCTTTTCTAAAACTATAAGCAAAACACTTCGTTTTGTGTCAGGCAAAACGCTAATTGCTCAGATGTGTTTGGAACATAATTGTTAGTTCACACTCATTATCACATTACTCCTCACCATAATCCTATGTTTGAGTATTATTATCCCAATTTACAGGTGGGGGACTGAGGCACAGAGAGGTTACCAAATATGTCCAAGGTCAGAGAGCGGCCACGGTGAGACTAGAACCCACGTCAGCTGGATTCTCAAACCCATGCATGCTCTTTTGACTCTGAGATACACATCTTCATTCATCTTTACAAGATCACAGCAAGGCAAATATTATGCCCATTTTACAGACGAGGAAACGGAGGCTTACAGTGGTGAGATATCGAGGGAAGCCTTTCAGAGATGGCCGGCCTGGCCGTTAAAAAAAGCCTCCCGACCAAGTGGGAAGAGATGGAGCCGATCCCATCTGCTGGCACAGGGACATGATAGGCAAACCTACAAGTAATTTTATTTATTTTTAATTTTTTCTACAAGTCATTTTATTTTAATTTAAAAAATTAAAAAAAATATATTTTATTGATTTTTTTATAGAGAGAAGAAAGAGGGATACAGAGTTAGAAACATCGATGAGCGAGAGTCATCGTTCAGCTGCCTCTTGCACGCACTCTACAGGGGATGTGCCCACAACCAAGGTACATGCCCTTGATCAGAATCGAACCCGGGACCTTTCAGTCTGAAGGCCGATGCTCTATCCACTGAGCCAAACCGGTTTCGGCCCTACAAGTCATTTTAAACCTGCTCCTCTAGCCAGGGGTGTCTCCCCAGGCCTAGGACCAGGTGGGGAGTAGAGGGGAGCTGGGCTGGACGCTCCGAGACCCAGAGAACTTCACACGCTGTCGTCAAAGTGACCAGGCAGCATTCCTACCCCGAGCGATTCTGCAACCCTTGCTGCCAAGTCAGCGCCTGCTGCCTGCTGGAGGGGCTGCCCTCCTGGCCTCACGAGGAATTACTGTGAAGAATGCACCCAAGTGCTGAGGAGGCAAGATGCAGTGGGGCAATCTGAGGCGGGCGGCTCCCTCCAGGAAGGCTTCGGAGCTTGCTTCCGGGAGGAGGACTCTGGGCATGGGCAGGTGTTCTCATGGCTATGGGGAGTGAGCAACTGGCTGTCACAACTTAGAGGAGATGAGGGGGGGAGCTGGGAGAGGGAAAGAGGGGTATTAGGTAAGGTGACCAGATGTCCCGCTTTTGGCGGGACAGTCCTGATTTTCAGCCATTTGTCCCATGTCCCGCGGCATTTTAGAAAAGTCCCGATTTTTGGAAAGATTCTTTCCAAGTTTTTGGACTTTTTTAAAATGCCACAGGACGTGGGACAAATTATTAAAAATCGGGACTATCCCGCTAGAAGCGGGACGTCTGGTCACCTTAGTATTAGGTGCCAGGCACTAGCCCTTCTTCCCGGACTCTAAGAGAGGGCTTCAGGATCTCTAAGTTATAAACTGGACAATGCGGCTCCCAGGAGGGAAGTCACCTGCCCAAGGTCATGCAGAGGTGCCTTCAAATCCAGGTCTGACTGACTCCAAAGTATTACCATTTCCCACGGGTCAGAGAAAGCCGAGACCAGAAACCAGGGGTCTAATCCTCCTCCCTCTTAACATTTCACAGCGAGGCCAAAGCTTCCAGGCACGGAAGCCCAGAGCCAGAGTAGTTACGTAGCAAGAAGGTGGGGGCTGAGGAATCCTTGGCCAGACAGAGAGGGAGCTGGAGGTAAGGCGCCAGGTGCTGCAGTCCAGCCGGTGGGACTTCTAACCTGAACCTTGTCAGCCGTATCCGTATGGGCCAAGGAGAGAAATGGCCAAAGACCTCGTCCCAAGGACCCCGGTCAGGCCTGCAGAGCAGACCAGCCCCCTCCTGAGTCCCATCAGAGCTGACTCAGCCTGACTCAGTGCCAGCTCCTGCTCCCAGGCCGATGCCCACCCCAGGGCATGGCACCTGGCCTGGTGAGTAGGTAGCAGTACCCTTGTTAAATCGCCTGCGTCAGGCCATGGGGTTGGCTGTGTCAGCCAGCCAAAGGCTGTTGTCTCTTGCCCAGGTGTGACTACAGCCAGCTTGGCAGATAGTCCCCAGATACTGCCACACCCCAGGACTGCAGGGCAGCGTGGAGCCTCCTGAATCAGACTTTCCAGCCACGGAGGGGGCAGCGGCTACGCCCTCCTTTCTCCTGTGCCCAGGCCTTCCCCAGACCACTGCTCCCAGGCCACTGCTGAGCCCGGCAGGGAGAGGTAGGTGCTGCCAGATGGCAGGCTTATAAAAAATTCAGAGCCACCTAACGCAAGTCCTAGGGCTGCAGCTGGAGAGATAAGAGTGTGACCTGGACAAAGGACTTCTCCAAGGTCACACAGGCAACAAATGGCTGGACTTAATTAGAACCAGGCTTCCAGAGGGCGCGGACCTCTTACAAAAGAGCGGCCCCCAGCCCAGGTACAAGCAAGGACTGCATTTCTTGCTGCTCAGATTGCTGCTGTAGGTGAAACCTTGGAGGAGGGGAGGGGGAGAAGAGGGGGGAGAGAGAGAAAGATTCTAATTCTTGAACTGCAGGGCAACCCAGCACCGGTAAGAAGCCCAAAGTCAATAACCAGTGTCCCCACCACACACACCCAGCGCTCCAACCACACACACCCGGCTCCCCCACCACACACCCAGCTCCCCCCCCACACACCCAGCTCCCCCCCCACACACCCAGCTCCCCCCCCCACACCCAGCTCCCCCCCCACACACCCAGCTCCCCCACCACACACCCAGCTCCCCCCACACACCCAGCTCCCCCCCCACACACCCAGCTCCCCCACCACATACCCAGCTCCCCCCCCACACACCCAGCTCCCCCCCCACACACCCAGCTCCCCCACCACACACCCAGCTCCCCCCACACACCCAGCTCCCCCCCCACACACCCAGCTCCCCCACCACATACCCAGCTCCCCCCCCACACACACCCAGCTCCCCCACCACACACCCAGCTCCCCCCGCACACACACCCAGCTCCCCCCCACACACCCAGCTCCCCCACCACACACCCAGCTCCCCCACCACACACCCAGCTCCCCCCCCACACACACCCAGCTCCCCCACCACACACCCAGCTCCCCCACCACACACCCAGCTCCCCACACACACACACCCAGCTCCCCCCCCACACACCCAGCTCCCCCACCACACACCCAGCTCCCCCCCCACACACCCAGCTCCCCCACCACACACCCAACGCCCCCACCACACACACACACACACACACCCAGCGCCCCCACCACACACACACACCCAGCGCCCCCACCACACACACCCACACACACCCACACACACACACCCAGCACCCCCACCACACACACACACACACACACACACACACACACACCCAGCGCCCCCACCACACACACACACACAGCACTCCCACCACACACACACACACACACACACACACACACACACACCCAGCACTCCCACCACACCCACACCCACACACACACACATACACACACACACACACACACACCCAGCGCTCCTGCCACACACTTCCCAACAGCTTGTGAAGCTGCTGCAGACTCCTGGCAGACCACTTGCTCCCTGTGGAGGCCATGGCACAGCCAGGAGAAGGCACCTTTCCCTTTGGAGTCTGGAGCCAGAAAGGGTGCTGGAGAGCACCCACCCCTCCGCATGGAGCAGATGGGCACACTGGGCCCGGCAGAGGGAAGAGACAGCAGCACAGGCCCTACAGCCAGATGCCGGGCCTCCCAGTCCAGCTCTGACGCCTGCCCTCCCCATAGAGCTCCCTGCGCTGATGCCTCTGAGTCTGGTCTAGGACAGTGTGCTGTTATCACATGTAAAGTCAGCTCCCCACTAGGCTGGGTCCCAGTCAGATTGATGCCCCCCCTAGGTTTCCAAAGAGGGCTTGGCACCAGGAAAGGCAGTTTGGATCAGACGGGTACTTCCCAACTGTCCCACCGGCCTCCTCCACTCCATTCCCCATCCCGGAAGCAACAGTTCTGGAGGTTCAGAAGTTGGGGCCCCAAGGTTGACCTCTCTGTCCTGGGGAAAAAAGCCTCAGCTGGTTCCCTAATTACCCCATGACAGCGGGCAGCAGAGGAATGCCTCTGGGAGGCGCCATGGGCTGCAGGTGAGTCAGCCCCGGAGAATCTGCTCCCACCCTTTGCCATTCCTCAGAAGGGAGGGCAGGCGGGCACCCGGGCCCCTCCGCGGAAGCTGAGGCTTCGCCTCTGTCAGCCACCGCCCCAGCAAGTCCCTCTCTGGTAGGAATGTGCAGGAATTGTGGGCGATGTTCTGGTTTCTTCTTATTCCACAGACCTAGACGCTGAGTCTGAGGAACGGGGAAGGAGGGACAACACCTTGTACCTGAAGCAGTGGCTCTTGGGAAAGACCCAGAATTCTCTGGGCTTGATAGTTACTTATTCAGGTAGTCTTAGGCAGCTCATCTCTGGGGCCTCAGCTTCCCCAGCTACAAAATGGGTGCAACAGTGACCATATTTTGGTATTTCAGAGCATAACAGTGCCTGGTCTAAACAGATGAAAGAGCAGATTGAGGGTTGCTGAAGATCAGGTGAAGGGAGGGGGAGTCTGAGGAAGGGGAAAGGGGTTGCCAGCATTCTCTTTGCCTGCTCCTCAGTACAGACATGGGGCTTGGGGTTTGGGCTGACACTCATTTCCAATCTTGGGAAGGGGAAGAAACACCGTAACTGGACACCTGAGGTTGCCTCCCAGCACGCAGGCATCAGGTCTGGCCTGGTGCTTAGTTAACCTCCTACCACAGCCCAGCTGAGGGACTCCTTGTCCACATAATAGCTAGCGGGCTCTTGAGCAAAGGGCTGTGGGAGCCCAGGACAGAGTTTGAGAGAGGGAAGGAATGAGAATGAGGCCCATGCCTGAGCTGATTTGGCTCAGTGGGTAGAGCGTCGGCCTGCAGACTGAAGGGTCCCAGGTTCGATTCTGGCCAAGGGCACATGCCAGGGTTTCGGGCTCTATCCCCAGTAAGGGGGGGGTGGCATGCAGGAGGCAGCCAACCAATGGTTCTCTCTCATCAATGATGTTTCTCTTGCTCTCTCTTTCACTCTCTCTTCCTCTCTGAAATCAATCAATCAATAAACAAACAAATATTATATATATATATATATATATATATATATATATATATATATATATATATATATATATAGAGAGAGAGAGAGAGAGAGAGAGAGAGAGAGAGAGAGAGAATGAGGCCCAGGAATGATGATTTTGGGATGAAAAGAACCATTTTGGATCCAAGAATGTATACCTACCCACCCAGGGCTGCCTGGCCATCTTTTGTCCTTCGCGGCGGTACTGTTCTTCCCCAACTGCTGTGTCTCTCCTCACCCTACTCTCCTCTCCAAGCCAGGGCCAGGGGGTACAGTCCGGGAGGATTCCCGACTCTCCAGGGGCGGGGGAAGGGAAAGCCAAGCGGGGAGGGACTGTGAGTGCAGGGGAAAGGGAGTATGGGCTACTATCAATGCTGTGCCGTTTTGTTACAGCCCCTGTCCCTCTCTGAACCTCGTTTCCCTTCGCTGTCCAGCGAATGCTACAGACTCGGGTTCCTTCCCGCCACGAGGCCCCGCGCCCGCTCACCTGCACGATCTGCCGAGGCTGCACGCTCAGCGTGGGGAAGTTGCCGCGCCCGTGGATGGGAATGGGCTCGCTCAGCAGCGCGTCCAGCCGCTTCACCTGCGGCCAGCCCAGCCCGCTCAGGTGCGGCCCGAGCGGAGCTGAGGCGGCTCCCGGGTCCGGGCCGCCACCTGCCGGGGCGGCCGTGGCCACCGCCGGGGCTGCAGCCGTCCCCGCCAGCGCAGCCGCCCGGTCCGAGCGCTCCACTTCGTTCTCCGGCATCATCAGCCCGGCCCGGGGCCCCGACGACAGGAGCCCGGGATGGTTCACGGGGGGAGGGCGAGGAGAGCGGGTGGGCCGGGTCCCAGGCGGCAGGCGCGGCTGCAGGGACAGCGCGGCGGCGAGGCGATCCCGGGCACACCTGTGACAGCGGCGACCTCCCGACCCTAAAGCTGGTCACTCAGCGCCCAGTTGACTTTTATAGGCCGCGGGCGACAGTCCCATTGGTCCAGGTAGCTGTCACACAGCGGGAGAGGCTCTGTCATTGGTCAGAAGAGCCAGAACGATTCTGATTGGCTGGAAGGCACTCCTCTGCCCCGCCCTCCTTCTCGGCTGAATTCCCTGCTTTGGTCCTTAAAGAACTTCTGTCCGCGGTGATTGGCCCGGCGGAGCCTTGACCTTGGGCTTAAAGGGACTGCGCTCTCTAGGGGCAGACGGGAGGGCGTGATCGGTAGTTTGCAGCGGAGTCGGACCACTAGTACGTTTCAGGTGTTTCTGTTTGTTTTTGGCGCCGGGAGGAATGTCTTATAGAAATCACCTGGCGTGGTCCTAGCCATCCACTGTTTTCAGAAGCCCAGAGAGACCTCGCTCTTTGGTCAACGCTGCACAGCGCTCCTTTTGCGTTCCCGCAATCTTCCATCCTCGAAGAAAGGTAACAAACTCAGAGTATACCGAGGCAGGGACTTCGTAACTCTCTCTCTCTCTCTCTCTCTCTCTCTCTCTCTCTCTTTAAAAAATATATTTTATTGATTTTGTACAGAGAGGAAGGGAGAGAGATAGAGAGTTAGAAACATCGATGAGAGAGAGTCATCGATCAGCTGCCTCTTGCACACCCCCTACTGGGGATATGCCCGCAACCAAGGTACATGCCCTTGACCGGAATCGAACCCGGGACCCTTCAGTCCCCAAGCCGACGCTCTATCCATTGAGCCAAACTGGTCCCGGGGTAACGCACTCTCTTGATGGTTCCTTGTCCATCAAGAGAGTGCGTTACAGCCTGGCCAGCCTTCAAGTCCATGTTCAGAGAAGGAGAAACACTGATTGGAAAAGGGAGATACCTGCCTGACGCCACAAGGTCACACAGCGAACCAGTCAGGCCTTTGTGCTGACCCTGGACATAGAGTCTGCGGGCACATGCTCATTCCACTACACTTGGACAAACCCAGGGCCTTTATGGAGGATGGAAGGAAGCTGGAAGGGGGGGGGGGGCGCGGGGGGGGGGGGAAGGAGAGTTGGTTTTCCTGACCCAGCATCTCAGGCCCTTCTGCAGCCTCGTCTGGTGGCTGGCAGAACTCCTTCCTGCCTGCCTGTTCTCACTTTACTCAGGTCCTGTGCTTCCTTAAGCAAGTCACTAAACTAAGTGACTTTCCAAAAATCGGGACTTTTTAAAAATGCTGCGGGATTCGGGACAAATAGTTAAAAATCGGGACTATCCCGCCAAAAGCAGGAAGTCTCATCACCTTACACTAAACCCCCCTCAGTCAGTTCCTTATCCACCCCAGAGAAGGTGCTCAGTAAATATTTTTAAAGTTTTGATTTATATATAGTTGGCCAAAGATTATTTCAATAGGACATACCGAATGAAAATACATAAGACATAGATGAAAAGAGAAAAAAGGAAAAATATAAGACCTTTCAGATAGTGCTAAGAAGAAAATGAAATAGGGTAGTGGAAGAGGGAGCAACCATGTATGTATGTGAAAAAGAGAGATATAGCCGAAACCGGATAGAGCTGTGGACTGAAAAGTCCCAGGTTCGATTCCGGTCAAGGGCATATACCTTGGTTGCGGGCACGTCCCCAGTGGGGGGTGTGCAGGAGGCAGCTGGTCGATGTTTCTCTCTAATTGATGTTTCTCTCTATCCCTCTCTCTTCCTCTCTGTAAAAAATCAATAAAAAATATATATATTTTAAAAAGAGATATAGTGAGTGAGAAAGATAACTGCAGAGATCGATGACATCAGTAGATGGTGTAATCAATGAAGGCCTCCTTAATGCGGTGACATTCCCATTGCTTCTGCTGGACAGACTTCTGCCCTATCTCCCACCTGCTTGTTCCTGGACAGTCAGGGCAGCACAGAAGGTGCTAAGCCACACATTCCTAGAGCCTTGAAAGCTCAAGATGGAAAGTCTTTTGACAGTCATTTTTGTTCACCCTCTTTGCACTTTCTAAATGGGAAAACCAGGGTCCAGAAAGCAGAAGGGATTTTCCCCAGGGAGACTGGCTGGGGCTGGAACTACACAGGGGCACGACCTTGTGAGAGTGGCCTGGTGCTGTGAGCACCCCACACATTGACTCAAGTTCTCAACAGATTTCTTTTCCTCTTTCCTTCCTTCTATCTGCACTAGGAAGAGCAATTAACAAATTCGTGCACTGTGAATCACCATGCTGTAGACACCTCTATTCCTAAAGGTAATTGGTCCAATGTTTGCCCAGTCACAGGACATAAACATCATTATGATGGGAGTGGGGTGACTGGAGGATATAGGAAGAGGAGAGAGAAGATGACGGAGAAGGGGTGGGGGAGAGAGAGAGAAGGGATATATTCAATAGTTTTTCATTTTCACCAAAACCAAAATGTAATTGCCCTAACGAGTGGCTGGGTTACATACGCTCTGAAGAGTCGAAGGCTTAAATGTTATATGTGAGCCTTTCTCCCCTGTACAAATTTCACATATTCATTCTGACTTTGATTGATTTTAAAAGGGAACTTAGTTTCTATGATAATTGAGTCTTTGTGACACAAGTAGGTCACTTTCCCTGTCTGGACCTGTTTCCTATTTTGTAAATGGGAATGAAATAGGAGTCAGTCTCTTCCATTCACACCTTCTGTGATTTAAGGAAGTGGGAAGGGAAAAGGAGTTCTGGGGAGAGTCTTGGTCCCTACGTTGCCTCCCCCTCAGCTTTGGGTTGCCAAACAAGAGCTTGGAATCACACAAGACACTAAACTTAAAAAAAAATAAAATATATATTTTTGTATTGATTTCAGAGATGAAGGGAGAGGAGATAGAAACATCAATGATGAGAGAGAATCACTGATCAGCTGCCTCCTGCATTCCACCTACTGGGAATCGAGCCCGCAACCCCAGCATGTACCCTTGACTGGAATTGAACCCAGGATCCTTCAACTGATGCTCTAACCAATGAGCAAACCCAGCTAGGGCAAGGCACTAAGCTTTGACACAGGAGCAGTTCTCACTTCATCTGTATAAAGTGTACAACTCAATATTGATTTGTATACTCACAGAGTAGGGCCATAATTGATTTTAGAACATTTTTATCGCCCCCAATGGAAACCATGTCCCCTTTATTTTTATTTTTTAAATATATTTTTATTGATTACAGAGAGGAAGGAAAAGGGAGAGATAGAAACATCAATGATGAAAGAGAATCATTGATCGACTGCCTCCTGCACACCCCCTATTGGGGAATGAGCCCGCAACCTGGCCTTTGATTGGAATCGAACCCAGGACCCTTCAGTCCACAGGCTGTCCCTCAATCCACTGAGCCAAACCGGCTAGGGCAACCATGTCCCCTTTAGCAGTCACCTCCCCCCCCCTTTTTCCCAACCCTCTCAGCTCACAATCCTAAGCAACCACTACACTATTTTCTGTCTCTAGGTAGATTGGCCTATTCTGAACACTTCATATACATGGAATCATATAATATGTGCTCTTTTCGATTTTTCTTTTTTTACTCAGCATAATGTTTTCAAGGTTTGTCTATGTTATAGCATGTATTAGTATTTCATTTTTCTTTATTTGTTCATTGGGTCATTATCACCTACATTCAGGGTGGCATAAAAGTCTGTGCCAATATGTAGTCAGAACTCAATCATGTTTGCCCTCACAGAAACAGGGCTGATTTGATAATTTGGAGCAAGATTCAGACAAGTGTTTTTCGTTGTTGTTGTTGTTTTGTTTTGTTTTCCTTTATCAGCACAGGAAGGGTGTAGAGAGTGAGATCACAGAGAATGAAGCTCTGAGAGAGAATCAGGAGGGCTCAGGGCACACTCTGGACAGAGACGGGCAGCAGAGGGTAGAGCTGTGAGCAGGGCACTCCAGGGCACTCCTGGGTTCACAGGGTCCTTCCCTGCCCCTCAGCTCCTCTGAGCCTGTGCCACCCTGTGGGGACACAGGTGGAGGTGACTGATGTTAAGCCCATTTCATGGGTGAGGAAACTGAGGCTTAGGAAAGGGTTATATACGCCTTTGTCTCATCTCCTCTGCTAGAGTGGAAGCTTCTCAGGCTCAAGGGCTGCTCACTCCTATTTATATTCTCTCCAGGCTGATGTCGCCAATAAAAACTGGAGTGGCTGCTCATCAGTGGTCCCCAGTCCCAGCAGACCCCACTTCCCTTTTATAACAAGTATCTTGCAATACCTTCTTCCCTGTAATGAAATGCAATTCATAGATAATAGATACTAATTATACACTCCTAATATTTTTTTGGGGGGTGGGGGTGGGAAATGAAGATAATGCTATAACTGAAATGTAAAGAAGAAAAAGGAAGATAATCTTTTTATGGTGTAATTTTTTATTGAGATATAATTGACATAGAATGTATTTCAGGTGTACAACGGTTCCATATTTGTATATATTGTGAAATGATCACCACAATAAGTCTAGTTATTACCATATAGTTACAATTCTTTTTTGTGATAGAGAACTTTTAAGATCTATTTTTTTTTTTAGCAACTTTCAAATATGCAATACAGTAATGTTAACTATAGTCACCTGCTATAGTTACATTACATCCCTGGGATTTATTTATTGTATAATTGGAACTTTGTAGATGTCTTTTACTTATTTACTAGAGGCCCAGTGCACTACATTTGTGAACTGTTGGGGGGGGGTGTTGTCTCCTCAGCCTGGCCTGCACCCTTTAGCAGTCCAGGAGCCCTCAGGGGATGTCCGACTGACAGCTTAGGCCTGCTCCCCATGGGGAACTTGCCTAAGCCTTAGTCAAGACATCCTTAGTGCTGAGGCAGGAGATGTTCCTCTGCTCT